TTAATAGCCTAAGAAATTTTTTTGGCCAAATAGATTGGAAAGTCTTGGATATGGGGTGTGGGCCGGTCTTGGAGCGAGACATGAACCCAGCGATAGGTGACGTAAAAGGGGATTTCGATGTGGATTTAATATATAACTTATTTAAGAATATTCTAAACAAAGCACAGGAACGTAGTATACCATACAAATTGAATAGATCGAATACTAATGACCCAAAGTGGATAACAAATAATGTAAAGAACCTTATAGGTAAAAAGAGAGCTTGGTACAAAAGGATTAAGAATGGGGAAGTCAGTTTAGAACAGGAATTCATACATCTAGTTAGAAATGTTAAAAAAGAGATTAGGAAAACAAAAAGAAACTATGAAGTTCGCATAGCAGAGCAAGCAAAGTCAAATCCTAAAGTTTTTTTTCAGTTATATCGAACTAAGACTAGGGAAAGGATAGGTCCATTAAAATCTGAGACAGATCAAATAACGGATAATGACAAGGAGATGAGTAGTATTTTTAACAAATATTTTATATCTGTATTTACTAAAGAAGAACTTAACAATATGCCTTCAGTCGAGCAAGTCTATGTGGGTGGGGATGAGGACAGGTTGACTAGTTTAGCAGTTACCAGGGAGGATGTAATTAAACAATTAGAAAAACCAAAACCAAACAAATCCCCAGGGCAGGATGAAGTGTTTGCCAAGGTGCTTAAAGAATGCAAAGAGGAGCTTTCCGAGCCACTGTCTACCATATTTAATAAATCAATAGAGTCAGGCAGAGTGCCAGAGTCATGGAAGGTAGCTAATGTGGTACCAATTTTTAAGAAAGAAGATCACTTGCGTCAAACTATCGGCCAATTAGCCTAACGTCTATTGTGGGAAAGTTACTTGAATCAATAATTGCAAATACAATTCGTCTCCATCTTGAAAAACATAAATTAATAAATAAGTCGCAACATGGTTTTACAAATGGCAGTTCATGTTTAACAAATTTGCTAACTTTTTATTCCAGCATAGTTGAGGCAGTTGATAGTGGTATGGATTGTGATGTTGTGTACCTTGACTTTAGCAAAGCTTTTGATACAGTGCCACATGAAAGACTAATTAAAAAAATAGAAGCTCATGGTATTGGGGGTGCTATATTAACTTGGATTAGGGCATGGCTATTCCAAAGGAAACAGAGAGTTAGTATAAATGGGGTTAAGTCAGAGTGGAATAATGTTGTTAGTGGAGTACCTCAGGGCTCTGTCCTGGAACCTCTGTTGTTTATAATATATATAAATGATTTAGATTCAGGTTTGAGTAGCAACATTTGCAAATTTGCCGATGATACGAAAATCGGTAGGGAAATTAATTCGGACGAGGACTCACTATCACTTCAAGTTGATCTAGATGGAGTTTTGAAATGGTCAAAGGATTGGCAAATGCAGTTTAATGCTGATAAATGTAAAGTTCTGAGGCTAGGTAAAGATGATAGAGTTACAAGATACGAGCTAGATGGTGTTGAGATTGCGAAGTCGGATTGCGAAAGGGATCTGGGAGTTATGATTAGTAAGAATTTAAAACAAAAGGATCAATGCATGAATGTTCGTAATAAGGCGAATAGGACACTGGGATTTATTAATTGAAGCGTTAGTAACAAGACTCCTGGTGTGGTTCTTAAGCTATATCTTGCTCTGGTTAGGCCCCATTTAGATTATGCAGTTCAGTTTTGGTCGCCGTATTATAGAATGGATATAAATTCACTTGAACGTGTCCAACGTAGGATGACTAAGCTAATTCCCCAAATTAGAAATCTTTCATATGAAGAAAGATTAACAAGGCTTAAGTTGCATTCATTGGAAAGGCGAAGAGTTAGGGGTGACATGATAGAGGTTTACAAGTGGACGAATGGACATAACAGGGGGATATTAATAGGGTATTAAAAATATCAACACAAGACAGAACACGAAACAATGGGTATAAATTGGATAAGTTTAGATTTATGAAAGACTTGGGTAAATACTGGTTCAGTAACAGGGTTGTTGATTTGTGGAACCAATTGCCGCATAACGTGGTGGAGGTGGGGTCCCTCGATTGTTTCAAGTGCGGGATGGACAAGTATATGAGTGGGATTGGGTGGTTATAGATAGGAGCTACTTCGTATGGGCCAATAGGCCTTCTGCAGTTACCTTTGTTCTTATGTTCTTAAATCGCAGGTACACTCACACACCACATATATATTCCGTGAGAGCTCTCTACAGCCTCACTCTGCACAACTGTGCCTTACTATGACATAGACATTGGTGAGCCCTGCTCATGACATAGAAGATACTCTGGCTAAAATAGCTGACTAAAGGGGAATGGGAGGGAAAATTAAATTACCTACTTCCACCTCACTGATGTGGATTCGCCCTCTGTTGAGAGTTGGATTGAAGCTCCTGGTCCTGGCTCTCATCTTGTTGTAGGGAACGCCCCCACACACACACTGATGCTCTCTCCAGGAACCTCTTCAACACCTCAAAAAATGCATTTTCACCATGCTCTATCCTCTGCAGGCCCGTGCCCCTCCACAACTTCCTGAAGGGTTGGAGTCGGTCTCCTGGCCGTCGACTTCTCCTCACAACTACAGCTGCAGACCTTTCTCTCGGCTGCAGTTGTCCTGATTCCCATCTAGTTCCGTTCTTCTACTGACTCTCGGTGAATTAGCCCAGCCGCTACGGCGTCACTAAATGGGTGAACCTGCTCAGACGTTCCATACGTCACTGCACAGACTTCACTTCTTGCAAAGCACCTGTCACTGGAGCACTTGCTGCTCAATTCTCGTCGATTCCTTCTTCGGTCCAACACACGAAATAAAGGAAGACCTCACAGGGTGCTTGCAGACTACTGGGTGATGCGTAAAATCCACCAGAGTGAGGTAAACTGTCAAACTGACAGGATCCTCTCTCGCATGTCTGACCTCCTCGACGTGTTGTGTCAAACTGCTGGCGCCACCGGGGGCGCGATGTCCGGACCCCCTTGCTCTCGTGACGTCATACTTGCCAGGGACGTTTCTCATTGGCTCCCTGTGCTACGTCACTGTTCTTGACCAATCTGGTGCCACTGACGTTATACTGTTTTGGTGGTAAAACGGGTAGAGGGGTGCCGGCGCCATATTGGCGTCCTAAAGGGCCTATACCATAGGCCAAAACACTCATCTTCTGCGAATTTCTCGCCAACGCGAGAACACTCCACGCTCCCACATATGTCAAATTGTTCCTCAGAACGTAGAGAACGTTCGGGAAAAGTGGATATGACTCTTACAGCAGGCGTGGGAGAAATATAAGGGGGGGGGGGAACACCGTCACACTACCTGTCATGAGCGAAGTCAATTGAGCTGTCAGAGCAGTCATAATTCGTTGGACATATCGTATCTGTCTGCGGGCAGGGGATTAAGCACTAGTAGCTGATTCAATGGGGATTAGCACCCTCCACTTGGAGATTTCACAGTGTTAATGTTGTTGTTTATGTAGTGTGGTTATCTTGAGATGATTTCGGGGCCTTAGCGTCCCCGCGGCCCGGTCCTCGACCAGGCCTCCTTTTTGTTACACATTTCCCGGGAAGCAGCCCGTAGCAACTGTCTAACTCCCAGGTATCTATTTACTGCTAGGTAACAGGGGCATCAGGGTGAAAGAAACATTTTACCCATTTGTCTTCGCCTCCACCGGGGATTGAACCCGGAATCTCAGGACTACGAATCCGAAGCGCTGTCCACTCAGCTTTTAGGTGCCCCTAACCTTGTGTGAGTAACCTTGTGAAGTTGAGTAATAGAACCCTCGTTAATGTAATTTTTTTGTCATAAGAATGGAGTGACACCTGTCAATTGTGTGACACCAGTCTCGATCATAACTCGTCTGGATTAATAGGCTGTAGGTGTGACAGTAATTAACTGGGAATTACTCACAAAATTCTTGACGTATCAAGTGTGGTGTAATTAAGGGCCTTCGATTTATTGTTGTCATTTGAATGTCGTTGAGACACGAGTGTTTTAACGTAAGTAAATTGTTGCTGACTGCTCTGGACGGTCAATTAACGTAGTTGTTATTGAATTTAATTAGTGTATTTTTATTATTTTTGTTTTTGTCTTGAGAGACAAGTGTTAACGTAAGATTTTGATAGGGGGGTTATCAGTGTTCGATTACCCACCTAGTTACTTTAGTACCTCGCTGGGAGGGCTGCGAAAGTCAATCAAGATTGTGATTATAGTATATTGCTCACCGGAGGGCCGTGAGATATATTGATTGCAAGCTTGTGTCAGTGGGCACCATTCTGTTTAGTTAGTGTCTTTATTCAGTCAGCGACGACGGAAAGGAGTCTGTGGTTCCACTAGGCTGTTGAATTAGCTGTTGCTACTATGCCACTGAAGACAGTAGAGTAACGTAAGCTGATTGTTGTAGTAGTTAAAGATTTTGTTGAATAAATTGTTGTTGTTCTTCTTAGAAACGGTCGTTTGATCTATCCTACTAATAATATTGTTCACTTATCATGTTCTGCAATGCCTTGCATGCTTATGTTTAAATTGAGTCTGCCCGTGGAGCTTGAGTTTGATTCAAAGTGCCACACTTCTAAAAATATTGAAGTAAGAACCCGTCGGTTACCCTTTATTGGTTTTTATCACTAGAAGAAGCCAGCGGCCCAAGTGGACAGGTTTTCACCCTTGTGATGGAAGCATGGCGGTTTGCTCCCACTTTTCCTATGGTCTCAGGCATAAAGTAAACATCTGCAAGTAAGCAGTTTTTTTAGTTTGAGGTCTGCCTCCCAAGCGAGGTAGTTACATCAACGTAACATCAGTAGGAAATTTCTTGCTGAAGCGACCATACGAGTCATAAATACTCATACTCCGCCCAAGTAAAACAGAAACAAGCAACACTTAATGAGCCAGCCAGAGGCTTAGGGCCCGCGCAGGAATATCCCTGCAAAAAAAAAGTAGGAAATTTCGAAAAATCTTACACTTGACACTGTGTTTGAGACGATTATTCTTGTTGACAGTCTTCCTCGGGATGCCACAAGTGCGTGCTGTTGGTGATGGAGGGTTGGCCTCACTCTGACCTCCTGCCGGCCTCCCCTGAGCCTCTCCTGGCCGTCTTGGAGAGGGTAGAGGCCATCAGCAAAGTCAAGAACTCCAGTCTCTTCACCTGCAAGTAGGTCACTCAGTCCCATGTCTTCCTCCCTAGCATGCTGCCAACACTGCTCAGCTCCTGTCTTCCTCCCTAGCATGCTGCTAACACTGCTCAGCTCCTGTCTTCCTCCCTAGCATGCTGCCAACACTGCTCAGCTCCTGTCTTCCTCCCTAGCATGCTGCCAACACTGCTCAGTTCCTGTCTCCTCCCTAGCACGCTGCCAACACTGCTCAGCTCCTGCCTTCCTCCCTAGCATGCTGCCAACACTGCTCAGCTCCTGTCTTCCTCCCTAGCATGCTGCCAACACTGCTCAGCTCCTGCCTTCCTCCCTAGCATGCTGCCAACACTGCTCAGCTCCTGCCTTCCTCCCTAGCATGCTGCCAACACTGCTCAGCTCCTGTCTTCCTCCCTAGCATGCTGCTAACACTGCTCAGCTCCTGTCTTCCTCCCTAGCATGCTGCCAACACTGCTCAGCTTCTGTCTTCTTCCCTAGCATGCTGCCAACACTGCTCAGCTTCTGTCTTCCTCCCTAGCATGCTGCTAACACTGCTCAGCTCCTGTCTTCCTCCCTAGCATGCTGCCAACACTGCTCAGCTCCTGTCTTCCTCCCTAGCATGCTGCCAACACTGCTCAGTTTCTGTCTTCCTCCCTAGCATGCTGCCAACACTGCTCAGCTTCTGTCTTCCTCCCTAGCATGCTGCTAACACTGCTCAGCTCCTGTCTTCCTCCCTAGCATGCTGCTAACACTGCTCAGCTCCTGTCTTCCTCCCTAGCATGCTGCCAACACTGCTCAGCTCCTGTCTTCCTCCCTAGCATGCTGCTAACACTGCTCAGCTCCTGTCTTCCTCCCTAGCATGCTGCTAACACTGCTCAGCTCCTGTCTTCCTCCCTAGCATGCTGCCAACACTGCTCAGCTTCTGTCTTCCTCCCTAGCATGCTGCTAACACTGCTCAGCTCCTGTCTTCCTCCCTAGCATGCTGCTAACACTGCTCAGCTCCTGTCTTCCTCCCTAGCATGCTGCCAACACTGCTCAGCTCCTGTCTTCCTCCCTAGCATGCTGCCAACACTGTTCAGCTCCGGGTTATACTGAACTCTGCTTCTCAACAGTCTATTGTCAACAGCGGTCCTAGTAGGTTCAAAGCACTTACCTTTAGCGAGATGTAGGAAAACAGGAATATAGCAGACTGAGAAAACTGAAATATAGCTGACTGTTTGAAAACTTATATGAAGCCGTCCGTTAAAAAACTGGAATATAGCAGACTATGGTAAAACTGAAATATAACAGACTGTAGGAAAACTAGAATACAGCAGACTGTACGAAAGGTGGAATATAGCAAACTGTGGGAATACTGGAATATAGCAGCATGGGGGAAACTGGAATATAGCATACTGTAGGAAAACTGGAATTTCCCCTACTTACTGCATTACTACTTACTGGAATTCTTCTTGATGCATTATACATCCTACATCATACAGTTGCTCTCTACACTTCTCTGGTCAGGTAGGCTGGAGACTTCGGGTTGTGTAATAGTGAATAGAATATATTTAGAAACAAAGGCTTCCCATGTGGCCACCATCCCACAAAAAACTGCTTGGTCAACAGAATACGACTTCATATGACGTCACTTTACATTTTCAACTAAGAATTTAATAAAATCAAAATTATACTCAATCAACCTTAAGTTACTATTATATTAATCCTACAAACTAACTTTATCTCATATTAATCATTTATAACTGGGAAAATAATTCCATAATATATCTTACAATATATGGTCATCTAGGAGGGAAGAAGAGAGGTCGGGTGTCCTATGTGCCACTACTCGCAGCCTCTCAGTAGATACCACCTCCTATGTGGACTCATATTGGTGTTATAGACTTTGAAATCAGCTACAAATACAATCTATATTAATGTATAACATATATTTATCTAAGTGTAGAGCATTGACTAGAGTGTGTAAAATGTTTTAGCGCGCTCATGATCCTAACTGCTAAGCAACAGTGTAAACAAACGTCATGCTGCGACAGTACCAAGTCAAGGGTATGTCACTGTGTTATCTACTATAATCCCTACACAGCAGATATAATCATCTACACTTGGCTTACTTGGCTCTGGTATTCAGTTAGGATAAGTTTAATGTGCACTTTTATTATTGGCCAATTAAGATATAACCATGTCATTAACAACATTATTAATAGGTGAGAATCGTTATAAAGTTGGCAAAGCCCCAATCAAATAGTAATCTATAAAACATATCTATTTATATTGATATAAATGTTATCAATTGAATTAAAAATAAAATCAATCTTAGTATAAATAATTTTTTTTTACATGCATACATGCGATTAAATACAATAAAACAAGAACAAACAAACAGAACACAAACACAAATTACAAAGCACAGAAAGACAAATACACTAAATACCGGCCTGAAGGACCGACAACAAAAACACAACAATGAGCATAAACACAATGTAACACAGTAAAAAATGAACAACAATACAATACAGGAGGGTAATGGAAATAAATACAAGAAAACTACAGAAATTACAAAATCACAAAATTACAGAAAATACCGGCCTAAGGGGGCCGACAACAAAACCCAAACATAATGCAAGATTGTAGAAAAAGAACAGTGCAAGACATGTTCATGTTTAAGCGTACAGGCAAGCATGCGTAAGGCAAACAGATGACAAAGCACTAATCACAAAGGCACAAAAGTATAAATTACCAAATACACAAAAGATCGGCCTGAAGGGCCGACAACAAAAACAAGAGGCATAGCAGTACAGCAGTACAATTACAAGGTACCCAAACCCGCACCCAACAACCCAACCATTGAAACAACACAAAACAAGCCTACTGGCCCCGGAAACCACACGGAGGGGCACAAATACATAACTAAAACAAAAGAAATAAAATACTCCCACACACGCATGCACGCAACCGCACCCCACGCACACAAACACATAGAAAATTACTTGTTGGCCACACACGCAACACCACAAGACATAGCACACACACACACACACGTGTTTGTTGAGTGGTGACTGTGATCAGTGGTAAAGTGAATTAGTGAACTGTCACACAACGATACAGTGACTGACTCCAGAGCTTTGTGCAGATAGAGAAGAACCGACCTCATCAATCTACTAGCACTTAGTGAATCACCTAGTGGGAGACAACGACGGATAACCATCGTCATCATACATCGTCCTTACTCATCTAGTTGTGTGAGCGGGAGGAGACTGGTATGTACCCCCTCTCTGGTCAATTAATCAGGTGTACAGATTGAGGTAAAATATTATCAAATTCTTGTTCAGGATATCATATATATTTAAAATCTCAACGTGGCTCATTTAGGTAGAGGTAACGCTTAAGGGGACTCGTGACACACGCACGCACGCGCACACGCGCACACACGCACGCCCATGTACGTATGCACGCACACGCAAAAACGCACACACATAAGCACACACAAACGTTCAGTCAGGGAAGAAAGGATTAACACCTCTTGTGGGAAGAGCCAAGCCCCTACCATACCCCACCTCCTCTCTTACCTCCCCATCTGACCTGACCTGACCTCACCTGGTCGCCACCACTGCCCCCCTCCCCCACCCCCCAGTCGCCCACATCCCCCTTCCACATACTCTACTCCTCTCTCTCCTCTCTCTCTCTCCTCACTCTCTCTCTATCTCTCTCTCTCTCTCTCCCACTTTCTCCTCTCTCTCCCACTTTCTCCTCCTCTCTCTCCTCACTCTCTCTCTATCTCTCTCTCTCTCTCTCTCTCTTTATCTCTCTCTCTCTCTTTCTCTCTCTCTCGCTCTCTCTCTCTCTCTCTCTCTCTCTCTCTCTCTCTCTCTCTCTCTCTCTCTCTCTCTCTCTCTCTCTCTCTCTCTCTCTCTCTCTCTCTCTCCTCTCTCTCTTTATCTCTCTCTCTCCCTCCCTCCGTCTCTCTCTCTCTCTCTCTCTCTCTCTCTCTCTCTCTCTCTCTCTCTCTCTCTCTCTCTCTCTCTCTCTCCCTCTCTTTATCTCTCTCTCTCCCTCCCTCCGTCTCTCTCTCTCTCTCTCTCTCTCTCTCTCTCTCTCCCTCTCTCTTATCTCTCTCTCCCCTTCCTCCCTCCGTCTCTCTCTCTCTCTCTCTCTCTCTCTCTCTCTCTCTCTCTCTCTCTCTCTCTCTCTCTCTCTCTCTCCCCCACTCCACTCTGCCCTTCTGACGAATCCTATCACAGCGTCAAGCATGACAGCCAGAAGCAACAGGGGAACAGGGAAAAGTTCAGGCGACGAAATGAAGGAAATGTTCACCCAGTTTCTGGAGGACATCAAGAGTGAGATGCAGGAAATGAAGAATGAAATAAGCAACCTAAAAAGAGAGCTGACAGCAGCAAAGGAGGAGATTAGAGCCCTCTAAGAGAACAGTATCGATGCTGAGACTCAGATAACCACCCAGGGAGAAGGTGGTAATAGTACTTTGGAAGAGAATGCCACATTAAAAGCAACTTTTGCAGAAATGCTAAAAAACAACAACTCTGAAGTAATGTCTGCAGTGATGGAGGTAGTCATGAAAGCAGCCACCTCACAGGAAGCAGCACGCTCCACTAGCCAGCTGCTGGAAAGGAAAAGAGCAGTGGTAGCTGTAGGTATTAAAGAGCAGGAAAGCTCTAATAGGAAAGAGTGGAATGATAAGGACAAAGCGGCAGTGAATGAAATACTGAAGACACTAGACATGGAAGGGCCTGAGCATAGCATTGAGAAGGTTTTCAGGTTAGGCTGGTACAAAAAAGACCGAGACCGTGTGTTAAAGATAGTGTTTGCAAACGAGAACACAAAGGACACGATTCTAACAAAGAAAAGCCACCTGCAACATGTGGGGGAATTCAAAAAAGTATTCCTCCAGAGGGACATGACGAGGGAGGAGAGGGCCATGGCGGCAGAAGCAAGGAAGAAGCGCAGGGCGAGAGGGGAAAACCAGGAAACCACAGCTCCCAACACATAACCCCCTGAGGCGAGGGGGGAACCC